CTTTGCAATCCCCTGCAATAGGTGGGATTTGAAGAGTCTACATGCAGATGGTTGCCAGATTGGTTGCCTTTATCGATGAACATTCCGAAACACATGCACCGGTGGAGGAAGGGGTTTGGAGAAGGCGCCCCTGCCCCTCAACCATCTCCACTGTTTGTCAGACATATTCAAGGCTGGTTTGGGGTTCATGTTTCGTCATGCTGTAGGGCAAGCCTAGGGAGGTTGGAGAAGCGTGCAACCCTGAGTCCGGACTTGCGATCGTGATGGCAAGCACCAGAAATAACTGACATTGGAGAAAACGGTTTCATTTGCCTAGGGAGTTTGACGTGCTTCCCATGCATTTGACCTTTGATCCTTCCCTCGTTCTTAGGCTTTAGCACCTGAAGGCCAGCATGGCATTAAGATCGCAGCAAACATTGGGATATTTTGCAAGTTGGTTTTCTCGCATGACTCATCACATCAAGCTCATGACTCATGACTCAACCTGGCTCTTGACATGCTTCGTCAGCTTGAAGGGAACCCAGACATCAAGACCTATCCAGACAACATAGCTTTCTCACGGTGCTCAGTTGAGTTAATCCTTGTTAATTCTTGTTTCATGTGCGTAGGAACAACTCCAAGATGTGTACACGGCATTTCCCCCCCAAGCGTTGGCTCGGTATAACTGATTTATAGTTGGGTTTCTATATTGACATAAGCAGTTGTATACATTTGACCCGTTGCTGGCCCCTAAATGAAACTCATGACTTTGTAATTGTTTCTTCATCTTGATGGGAACCCCGGAAGAGACCATACAGAAGTGGTCATTACAAGAAACATCGTACACCCAGCAGCACCGCCATGGCTACCGTGCACTCCATGGAAGATTGATGCGTTGGCACTTGGAGCCGCTCCATGTCCTCTCAACATTCTGATGAGCATCTCGGCATGCATTGTCTCTAGCCTTGTTTGGAGCCTTGGCCTTCCCCGCTCCATTTGGTTCGAGCCTTGCCGGGTCCTCCCCACTTGCTCCAAAAGGGCACAGATCCACAAAGTTTGTCATACTTCTACAGGACCCCCACAACACACATTGATTCAAAACCAATATATATAGGTTGGGTTTGGGGAAGCCTAATGCTGCCACTTTTCATGAAGAGAAATGTCCCCAGCTATGGGTTTCGTTCAATTTCCCCAAGGAAACTCATGTGGTTTTGCACGGGAACCAGGCAGGTAAGGAATGCCACACCGGGCTTTCTAAGAACGTAAGCACTGCGTCCGGCAGTTTGTAGCTGCCGGATGGGGCGCGCTGGATGGGCATCAGACATGGTTTCACTGAGTGGTTTGGTCTGTTCATCACACCCAGTGGCATCATATGACACCCAGGTGTGTCCACATGCCACATGACATCTTGTTTATGTTGTAAAGGAATTACATAGTCGACTGTGCACCGGTTTTTTCTGGACAGAGCACAGATGGACGTGGATCGTGACAGAAGACTCCAGTTTCACAGTTTACACCCTGGAAGATTAACATGGAACCTGAAAACCACTCAGCTGTAGAGGAAAGCAGTCTTCCAAAGGTCCATTTTGAGGTTCCATGACAACCTTCCAGGATGTACTGATTGCTGACACCTTGAAGCACCTGATACGTATATGTTATATGCGCGTGTTTATATATATATAGATAGTGAGGCGCATTGATGAACACATTTATATACACATCAAACTCTTTCTACCACCAAACTCTTGTTCGCTGGGATTGACCAAGGAGGAGTAGCATTGAGAGCTCCTCCATCCAAGGGCATACTGTTGGGCATCGCTCAAGTTGGCCGAGTATTGATCTAGAAGAGGACGTGCCAGAAGAAGCAGGATACAGCAGCTTGGATTTGCGGCAGGTGCTGCTCTAGGATGGGTTCCTCCTGGAAGGATGTTTGCTGCTGGGAGATTTGTCCTGAGATTTCCTGGTTTTCAAGAGGCCAAGTTGAGGGGGAACAGCGCCTATAGATTCAGTAATTACTGTAAGCCGATTCTTTGCATCAACAAGGGGAGTGAACTCATTAGGTCACCCGGTTCTGCCTCCTACCCACATAGGTTCTGTCGCCACAGGTGGAGTCTCGTCGCCCAGTGGGGCTCCATTTTGCGCTTTTAGCAATGTTCGTAGGTTCGCCACCCCGCAAGGAATGCGCAATGCTTGAGGATTTGCTGGACAGATTCTTTTTCAATGTCATATGATTCATATGATTCCCTAAATGCTGCGACGGCTGCTGGTGGTTTTGCACTTGTTACTAGCATATTATCATGCAATCGCCGTATACGGATCAAGACGGCGATCCCCCACACAGTTGGTGGTGGTGCAACTTTGTGAAGGCCTAAATATACCTATATATATAAATATGTCCCATTCAAAGTGGTTTTCAGTGCTCTAAATGATTTGGCCATCGAAACTCAAGGTGTTGCTGAGCCTGCCCAACCCAACCGCACGCAACGGCTCGTGGCACTCATCGCGAAAATGACGCCCACGACGCTTGGGACGGCGTTAGATACCGAAAAGCTGGAAGGAGAGGGTTTTCGCATAAGAAACTGTTGAATGAGTTGAAGTCTTGATTCTATGGACTCTTTTTGATGACTTTTTGGATGGTTTTATGTGATTTTGCCCACAGCCCACGCACATTCAATCTCCGTTCAAGCAGCAGTTGAAACCTGGGAAGGTGCCAGTGGACCCCTTGGGGAACGAGAAAAGAGCTCAAAACTGTCCCAAGCTGTTCATCGCACGAACGTGTCCTCCTTTTGCCGGGAATGGGATGGGGTTTACGAGTTGGACACCAAAAGCATAGAACGAACTACTTGTCCCAAACAAGATTTGCTACCTTATGCAATTAGGACTTTCCATATATAAGTTTAAGACATATTTAAGAAATACGTACAGTATACTGGAAAATGGATTCTGTCCTAGAGGGAATACCTGCTCAGTAAATGTAGCTCCAACCACGGTCCTATATTCCACCAACCACCGGGGTACCCTCTCCGGGCAACGATCACCGAGGCTATGTGGATCCCGAATGGGTTTGGTTTTTGGGGGCTTAAGAGGTTCCAGATTCGGGACACGGAAAGCCCTCAACAAATCCGGGCCAGGAATCCGGACATTCTACGTGCAGCTCCAGTGGCCAAAGTGATAAGCTGCCTGGGAAGAGTCTTCTGGGCGACAGATACTGAAGCTCGGCGCAAAGAGTTCTGCGTTTTTTCACATGGTCTTTGAAGAGTGTAACTTACCCAGGCACTCCATGCAAGCATATTATGTTCGCCGACATCCTACATTGAGGTAGTTGACTTTGGTTAAATGTTGGCGTATAGTGTTGGATTGATAAGCCCCCCCCTCCCAGAATGTGTGCTATTTAGGGGCCAGAACAGAGCAATTCGTTTTTGTTTAAGGGGGTCAATCAGGAGAGGTCACCAAGACAAAATTTCTCCATGAGGGTTCATACTATATGATGGGTCTGGGAAGTGGAGGGTGTAAGGCTATAGTATTGAACAACATTTCAACAAACAACGGTGGACAAACAACGGTGGACCAAACATGACCAAACTAGTTGCGGGGGGTTAGTGTTCAAAGGCATTTACAGTAGTATTGGAAGCCCCTCGGCGGATCCTTTGTTTTTTTGCACTTTCCAGGCTTGCACAAGAGTGAGCATGTGCACGAATAAAATATGGATTTCAAGTTTGTCAGCGCTGTCGGCAGTTTTGGAACTCCATATGCAGAAGAGGTCGCCCTGGAACTCCGTGCTGTTTCTTGCCAGTTGATTCGATTAATAGAAAGTTGGTTCCTGAAATGTTCAGAGTATGGAAGTCCAATTACTTTGTATATCGTTCTACACTTCTACGTCTTTTCACCTTTCAATTCAACAGGGTCGGGTAGGGCCAACGTCCACTTGTCTCAGACAAAGGTGGCTTTGGCAAAGCCTGGGCGATTCTTGGTATGCAGGGTGTAGGCCATACCACCCAAGGTCAAAGCCATAGCAACATCCAGGTGGTAAAGTTCCAAGGACTGTTCTCCCCATGTAGCTGAGGAAAGAAGACTAATTCTTGACCACCCTCGCTGGCGGGTACCCCCATGGTTTTCACGGTTTAGGAGCCATTTCAATCTCCTACCGGGTGCTGTTTCACTAGCCCTGCGCCGTTTCACTTGGTTTCTCGGCACTGAGGACTTCTTTCATCTCAGCAGCTTGGACTGAGACGCAGCCGAGCGGCTAACCCTGGTCTCGTCAGAACGAGAGGGTGGTCTTTCTGCTAGAAAGCGACCTTTGCTAGAGTCTAGTGTCGGGTCAACACTTGTATCTTAATCATGAAGAGTCTCCACGAAAGTCACCACCCAACCTATAGTGCTGGGTGTAATTCTTTGTGGTTGTTTGACCAACTGTACTTTTTAAGATTATAGTCAGTCATCAGCATCATCATTCTCTTTTGGTTGGGTTGCCCAAGCAAAGCTTTGCCACAATTTAGAGCAGTGTGACCCATTTTTGCCCGTAAGCTGTGAAACGGCACGCCGACGTGTGCAAGTTCCATGTGATCTCGAGCTGAGTCTCCTGGCGAAACTTGTTGCACTGCAGACTGCCCAGTCTTGAACAAATAGGAAAACACACACGTCAGGAAGGCAAAAACGCAAGCAAACCATTTTTGGGTTGTGGACTCAGCACACTTTTATCAAAGATCGGACCGTTCACACCCAAGAGCCTGTTGGACAACCCATCTGAAACCACAGCTGCTCCTTCAAACCGAGTATGAAACCACCGGCTGGTGGGCGGAATCCGGAGCGAGTCGGCTGACGCCTTGGCACCCTTGACGCCTTGGAGGTCATGTCACCGAGGACTACGACGAGTTCTTAAGCCACAGCTGGCATGTGGAGCCTCAGATGCACCGGTGAACATGAGAGTCAATGAGAGTGCACGGGGAGGTGTTGGGAAGACGCGAAGACGGAATCATCTGCATGGCTCTAAGGAGAGTTGGAAGAAGGTCTTGCTGTTGCTCATGTTGAAGAATGGGCCTGCCTCTGTCACTGGGACTGGGAGCAGTTCCCTTTATTATGTCGGTTGATTCTATACTAAGGATCATTTGTCGGATAGGCAGTGCTCGCGTGCCGATGACATGGCATGGTGGTCCTCAGTTCGTCACATTTACGCCGTGATTTGCCAGTCGTTTTTGAGCCATCTCACTCATGACTCATGTTCTGCGCTTTGTTGGAGGTCTTGTTTGGCTCTTTGGCCGCAGTTCTCATGCTGATTCTGTGGTACTTTCAGATCTTACCCAGCGTCATCAAGAGCCACGGAAAGCAGATGGGTCTCCGTCGGGCAGTCTGAATGAGTGACAGGTGTGCTGGTTTGAAACTTCTTTCTATTAACATCTTTTTGCAGGGTCTTTGGGAGCATAGCGGCATAGCCGCAGCCGCCGCTGCCACGTCACGTGTGTCCAAACTGTTGGTAGTTACTTCTTAATAGATTCTTATATTTGTTAGCTTTTGTTAGATTTGTTTAATTTGTTTAGTGCAAGTATATAGGGATTGAAACACAACAGTCCACTTTTGCTGGGGTCATTCTTGTTATGTACTGATTGCCGATCCAGTCTCCAAGACTGTGGCGATCGGCCGGAACGGCGCCCGCCATGAGTTATCGGACTGGACGTGCGATGGTGCTGGAAGAGCTGCCCGAAAAAAGTGGATTCATCCACCTGGAAAAGATCCAGGGACAGCAGAGCATTTGCAGGGACAAACATAGCGCGCATCCAGAATTTGGCTAGTAATTATATGTAATTATCACGAGCCGTCCAAAAATGATCAGTGATTTTGTGGGTGCCCTGGGGGAGGAACGATGTCATTCTATTGTTTCTCTATATTATGTATAGTTCCAAGTGTGTGTGTTTGTGTGTTGCAATTAAGATTCATCCATCTACCAGTCATTCTATGTCATAAGTATATATTTGCTTGCAGTATTCTGTGATTGTGCCTTTCCGCGGAAATCCTGTGAACCCGGATGACCTGAGCTCCTCTGCATCCAAGGAGGACCCCCGGGCCTGCCGGGTACATGGACTATTCTTTCTGGTGCTTCTCTGCGGCAGTCGTCGTGGCGTTGTTGATGTTGATTCTGTGGCGGCCCCGTGGGCGTATTTTTGTGGATCGCGTATGCATCAATCAGGCCAGCTGCCAGCTGGGCTGAGCAGAGCGTGAAAGGATCAACGGATAATGAGAGTGATAACGATATGAGATGAGGTCATGTTGGATCTTAAATGATCTTACATAGTAAACGGTCACCACCCCCTCACCTTCCCTACAAATGATTAGAGGAGAGTGCAGAGCAGGGATTGGGAATACTTGTGCGATGACTCTTTTTTTTGGAACATCACCAGGCAGAGCAAGATGAAACGGATGTTGATTTCTTAAGTTGGGGGGGAAGACTTGGGACGTGTATGTGTTATTCATAGTGTGCTTTCTGAAAATACTTTATTTATCTTTATTTGTTTTGATAGTACTTGATGCTTTTGTGGATTGATCTCACCAGACCATCATGAAAACCGATTCAAAACATGAATAAAGACTTGAAAGCATGCCATTTCTAAGAAGTTCATTCAAGTCATGACACCTGTCATCCGACCGATGCGTCCACCGATGCGTTTGTGCGTGGGGGTACCAAGTGCAGATGGATGGTACAGTCGTACCAGGTTGCCTTTTGGGGTCCTGTCCATGGTCATGTCAATTGGTCATTTCTACGATGTCATGTCATGTCGTGATGTCGTTCGAGGCAAACTTGACGACCCGGCCGGGTCCGGGTCCGGCTTCGCCGTTTCAGACGAAGACCGCAGACCCCGCGGTCTTCGTGTTCGTCTTCGTCTTCGCCAGGCCGATGGGCGCATGAAGGCCGAAGGGATTTTGACCCTTGGTCCGAACCATCCGAACCATCTCGTCGCAACCATCTCGGGGGGTTGCCTCGTGTGCCCCAAACCGAATCCACCCGACCGAACACGGAATCGGCCGAAGTTCAGGTATACCAGGCGCCAGGAGCGAGTGACGTGATCCCCTTGTGTCACCTGTTGAAAGCCCAAAAAGGACCACGACGAGCACCCCGGATCGTGCCGCTCGCGTGACGAGCCGCTTGCGTGATGACCGGTCGCTCGGTAGCCGCGCGTGTTGGGGTCACTGCGCGTCCGAGCGGAGCAGCGTGTGGAGCAGCGTGTTTGCGTCGGGTCTCCAAGTGGTCGATTTACCACCCTTGAAGGTCTCAAAGGTCGGTGAAACTGCCCAGCCCACAAGTCATAGGAAAATGCATGGCCGGGGGGGGGGGATCCAGCAAATGCGGTGACATGTGAATTTTTCTTGTTGTGCTGGGGGGGGGGTTGTTTGGTGAAGCGATTGAAGGATCCCGTGGGCTTGCCATTTTTCTCAGAATTTGTGTTGGTTTCTCTCATTGGTGCGACTCCCGAATGAGTGTGGCTGAGCCCAAAGTAATTTTTACTTTGAGTCTCCAAGTGCATGCAGAAAATGCATGTTTTTGTAGGGTCATGTCCCATTTTCTAGGGTACTTCGCAACGCTTCCCACATTTTCCCTAAGTCGCATCAGGCAGAGATAGTGGTGTGGAGTTACTCATCACGCGAAACTGACACATACTCATCATGTATCACTTGGAGTTTGTCGACTTGCAGGACCAATGATCTTGTTGTGGATGATTTGGGCTCTGAAGATTCTTGTGATGATTCTTGTATCACTCCGCTGTTTTTGTCTCCAGCATTTCTCAGGAACATTGGGGCAATGCTGAAGAGGTCATCGTCATTGCTGGTGATTTGGGACGAGTCCTATGTCGAAGCACGGCAGGTTAATTTAGAAATTTCAAGCTTATTCACTCCTACATACTCCTGTCTGGTGGTCTTCCCAATGGTAAACTTCACTATCCACTTGGACATCTACTGGAATCTTTGGAGTGGGGATGGGCGGCACAGTGGACGGCGCAGCTTGGAAGATACTGTCATCTCCTTTGCAGCTACACAGTGCAGAGGATATCGGCATCAGTTTTGCAAGCAAATGGTACAGGTTTAGAATTATGCTGGTAAGGAAGGGGTTCATCTTGGCTTTCTGCATCAGAGTCAAGGCCTTTCCACCTCTTTTGTGGCATTTATGATGTGATCCCTGACCATCCCTGGACACCTTTTTGATGGACCATGAGCTATACGGCGTACGGATATAGAATGCCGTAGATGAAGCCCAAAGGTCAAGTCACGCACCATGAGATAAGACCACATCGGTCAAGCACATGCACTCTAATTTAAAAAGAACACCAGTTATGTCGATGGGCCGAGGATAGGCTGTGGTGTATTTTTGAGCTGGCTGCCTTTTTACAAAGCCATCCTGAAGCTTCCGCCAAAGCTGTGCAGGTGCGCGGCCGGGTTTGATTATGCTGCTGATACATCTCACTCTATCGTTCATCCTGTTTTTATAAATTCCGTGTATTTAAATGTCCTGTATATAAATTGAGCGCACTCGGGTGGACCATTTGGACCATTTTGTAGGGAAAAGGCTGGTTTTCTAAAATCATCCTATTGGCCGACTGCTGCGTCATGCCGTCGTGCTGCTGTTTGTGGGCTGCGTCGGTTCAAGCAGTGGCTTAGTGGCCAAGCCTTTTCGATTTATCTTGGGTATGTTCCTTACCTGTACCAGTCGGCTGACAAGAACATCAGAATTACTATAGAATGTCGGCCTGTACTGACCATCATCATCCACTGGGCCCTGGTGATTGGATATATACCCCCCATGTATTTTGAGCAGCTGCGGTTTCGCACCCCAAGCTGAACGCGTTTTCCTTCGCCTCAGAATGCGCGTCACAGGTACGACCGGTCTTGCTGGGATTTGCCGCTGCCTCCACTGCGGTGGCGGTGCGCTGGACGGGTGAAATCCATCCAAGACCCCTCCAAACAGGGGACTTTAGCGATGGCCTCCAACCTAGTAGCGATGGCATCCAACTTAGTAGCGATGGCATCCAACTTAGTAGCAATGGCCTCCACTGCTCTCCAGGCTTAAGCCAGAACCTACGCATATTGCTGAGTCCCGGCCTTTGAGAGAATATATATAACCATTAGTGTTGGGGCCCACAACCCACAAAAGCAAACTCGGGAACCCATGCCCCAACTTGAGCGATCTTTAGATGATGAGCACTTCGAAGATTTCCGGTCGCTCTCCATGGACAATGGGAGGCGTTTGTGTTTGAAAAGGTTCCTTTTATAAGGCATGCTCACTTAGCAGTGGGTATGCCAAGAGAAACATGATCCTGAGGAGATGGCAAATGTGCCGGGTGGGCATCATTAACTGTCAATTTCACCACTAAGTGTGTATGATCATATGCAATCTCATGTATATGGTATACGTATGTATACGTCATAGGGCATTTGTTGTTTTTTTTTGCTTTTCTCAATGACATTTTATGGGCTTGGTGTTTATTGCGCCTGTAAACGGTGTTTTTCCAACCTGTTAACTTACTCGGTGTTTTTTAGACCTGTAATCAGTGTTTTCTGCGCCTGTGCCCCAGTCACGGTGTTTTTTGCACCTGTTCCACGGTGTTTTTTGCACCTGTTCCACTGTGTTTTTTGCTGTTCTGCGGCACCCTCTGTCGCCGAGCTCGTGCCTCAGAAGTTTTTTTTTGACACGGTCTGTTGGCTTGTAACGGTGGAGTCATGACTTGTAGCACTGCAGTTTGGTCACATTTGGTCTGATGCTTTTCTCTCGTTGCAGGCTGTTCACCGGCACCCTCGGACACCGAGTTCGTGCCTCAGAATTGCTCAGACAGGCAGTTTGTTCACATTTGGTCTGATGCTTTTCTCTCGTTGAAGGCTGTTCACCGGCACCCTCTGTCACCGAGTTCGTGCCTCAGAATTGCTCAGACGTGTCCGTCCGTGGTTGTCTTGAGGCCGGCTGTTTTGTGCATGCTGGGCTTATACATGTTTGGTCCGTCGCAGCAGTGTTCGGCTCTCGTTGGTTTCCTGCTTTGATGTGCGTCCATGTGCCGGAAGCTCAGTGCTCCTGTTGCCTGTGGCTGCCTCATTTCCACGGCATCACACGTTCTGCGGTCGTCAGGCGCCAGGGCTCCTCGATGGGCAGATGATGCCGAGTCCTACACGGAGGCCTGGCTTTTAGTTGCCGTGAGTTCGCAGGCTAGTCGCGCTGCTTGGCCCGAGGTGTTCGACCTTGAACTTGACCGCTACTTGCACAAGTTCTGGGGTTGTCGTTTAGCAGTGCAAACACCTGCCGGTTGCCCAGCCTCGCACTGTTCGTCACATCGTAACAGACAGCTGTCGTGTCTTCGAGGTGGGGTGGATCACTGTGCCATACGACTTCACGAAGGACATCTTCGCAGAAAGCATTTTTGCTTTAACTTCGCTTTAGCCCGGCGCCCTTGCAGGAAGTCACGCAGACACCGTCCGCCGTGGTTGAAGCCTTAGCTCAAACAGTCAGTGAGCGACGTGTCGTGCCAGAGTCGTGCCGTCAGCAGCGCAGGTCCCAGCGCGGTCTCGAACCAAGAGGAGGTGGTGCGTGGTCGATGTCACTATAGTCTTTGCACTTTCGCTTTGTGATCCAATGCCTTCGTGGGATAGGTGTCGTGCTGTTGCTGCCGAGCACACTACGGCTTCGAAGGTGCATTAGCTGTGCTGCACTGGCTGAACTCGGCTTCGCCGTCCTTTTCGAACTTTTGTTCTTCCAGGACGATGCCTTTCTTGAGTTTGCGTGGCAGCAAGCCCAAGAGGCTCGGTATAGGTCATGTGCCGTGTGTTCTGTTCCCATCATTCCTGTTCCTCTTGAGGAGTTTCCTTCTGGGCTGTTTTTCGCCCTGGGTTGGTGCAGAGGCCCCAGACAGTAAACAACTGCCGGGTTCTGTGAAAAAAAATCTCAGGCGACGCGCAGCATCAATGGGGTCGCCCCACTCGAGCCTGGCGACGTTCGTTGATCGCGACTGCGTCCAGTCCTTGAGTACAATGTGGTTTTTGTTACCGCTGTCACCGTTTCATGATGTCTCAGGTTGCGCAGGATTGCAGAGAGCCGCGCGACCGCGCTGCCACTGGAGCTGGAGGTCGGTTGTGTGATCGGCTGTCACGCAGCATGCCGCTGTCTCCTTGTATAGAACTTACCCTGCAGGCTGTCCAGCTTTTGTGCGACATGGGCCCAGATGTTCCCTTCGGAACCACTGCGGCGTGGGGCTTCACCACCTTTCGCTGGAGTCTGTCACGGAAGTGTCGCAACCGAGCGGCTCACATCTCCAACGGCAACACGGCAGGCAGGGTCGGTGTTTTGTGTTGGCGAATAATAAGTCACTGTTTTGCATCCTGCTGGCGCAGGTTTCCGTCTTCGAGGCGTGTTTCCGAATGTGTCCGGCACATCCTGCTGGCTGGCTAGTCTGTTGCAGTCCATGTTCTCATGCATGCCAATAGTTGATGCCATCTCCCAACACCAACAGACGAGACATTGTGGCAACACTTGCTGGCAATGCGCTTTGCGCGAGTCGCACACGGTGAGCTGTGCGAGTGGGTCTGCAACCGATTTGGAACCCCTGTGGAAAGAACCGTTGCGTGCATTCAAGCTTGGCTTCGATAGGCAGCAAGATCCGTTAGAGTTTCTGGGCAAAGTTGCTGAGCGTGACCGTGACCTCGGCGTTTTGAACATTCTGTCGGCGGGCTACCGGCAAACACGGCGGCATCAGCTGCAGTGCCTATGTCCGATTGAGCTTCCACCACGTGAGCCATTGCTTACGCCACATGCAGTCGTGCTGCTTTCCCTTCCGCCTTTTGATGAGACCGCTGCCCTGTCTTTGCCAGATTTGTTGCTTCCGCAGGAGAGTGAAATTCTGGATGGCGGTTTGCCATGTCCACATTGCAATGTCAAAAGTGCATTTCATCAAGTTTCGTCGTGGCACCTGGGAAGTGTTGCGCTTTTGCAACTTGTCCGCGAAACAGGTCCTGGCCTTCCTTTGAGCCGCACAGCTGTGTTTGCGCCGATCGAGTTTGAGCATGCAAAGTATGTGTTCCGCCTTCGGGCAGCAGTGCTACATCGAGGAGAAGCCTTTGACAGCGGCCATTACATTGCTTTTGTTCTGACGCCAGACGATGTGTGGGTGCAATACAATGATGGAGCCGTCCCAAAGCGTTTGCCCAAAGAACCGCAGCATCTGCAAACACACGGACGGTATTTCTTGTATGAGCGAATACATGCAGCTCCGTCTCCGATGTCCTCTCCACGCAGCGCGCCGTCTTCTCCCAGGTCCGAAGACGCTGACCAAGCTGGCGGCTCAAATTCTTCAGCCGAGGTGGGCCTGAAGTGAGGGTTCGTATAGTCCATGTGTTTGGATCAACATCATGTAATAAGCTTTGTCACATGTGCCACGTGTTTCAGGTTCACAGCTTTCAGTCTTGCTTGGGCCAGGTGCACGCAGGTTCCGTGGAAGAGCTGGACAACGATGGTTCTGCGCAAACTCAGCCAGATTCACCGCGGGAATTTATGCCTGGAACTCATGGCCATGATGCCCTGGGCGACCACGCCTTGCAGCTGCTTGAGCTGTTTGAAACTGGAGGCGATTGCCACGCTTTCCTTGCTGACCTTCCGCTGTTTTCACCAGACTTGGACGGCTCCCTTGACAAGCTTGCCGAGCACTACCAAGCGCAGGTGGCCGATTTGTGTTTGGACAAGGTGAACAGCCACGCTGCTCTCGAGATTGTGCCCTGGATCGGCGACACTGTGGTCTACCCCTTGGCTGTCTTGCTTGAAGCTACAGCGCGAGCCACTGCCATTCCATTAGTTTTCTGGATAGATCTCGTGCAAAGTTTCGCAAATGCAGTGCTGCACAAGCGAGCGGGCGTGCAGCTCACTGAAAGGTATCACACCAAAAATCGGTACTGGATGGTTGGCACTGCCAACGTTGCCGAAGGCAAGTCTCCGGCAATGACACCTGTGGTGGAAGCAGTGGAAAAAGCTTTGCACCAAAACACAGCATTCACTGTGGGTTCGCCTAGCGATCAGTTCCATTTGCAACAGGGCAGCACTTCGGCAGCGGCTCGCGAGAAGCTTCGCTTCTGCGACGGATATTTGGCCATTCATTCGGACGAAGCTGGCGCTTGCCTTTGCCCCGCTTTCGCAAACGGAGGTGCTACCGACCCATCCAAGTTCATCGACTTCCAACTTTTCTTGAACGCGGCCCACGGCGGGTCTTTGGATCCGAGAGCCCCTGTGCCAGAACCTGCTGGCCTTACCTTGAAAGAAACCAACCTTCACGTCATCTTTCTGCAGCAGGAGTTGTTTCTTTCCACTTGGTGGGCGCCTGTGGCTGCCACAAAACCACTTGGGCTGGTCCAACGCTTTCTTTTTTCCTTCGGGGCTCGGTTGAACATGGGCAAGCAGTCCTGGAACAGTTTCTTGCGAGATGTCACTGTACCTATTCTCGAGCAAATCTTTAGTGCCATCCTCCGGCGGTTTGGGCCTCATGTTACAACCCTTTCAGAGTTTGTTTTTCACACTACGCAAGCACAGCGTGCTGTAATTGTCGAGCTCGAAGAAATTGGGCGCCTGTTTGCGCGAAAAGATTCTGTGCACACAGTGTTTCGTGAAGCCATGCCAAAGGCTATGTATTGGCTTGGAACAGGGATTCTCACTAATCACCTCCTTGCGACTTTGTGGCCGGCGGGGCTGCAACGAGACATTCCAGCTGATTTTCCGATCACTGTCTCCAACCAATGTTTTGCTGCGAGTGTCCAGTTCATGCTTAAACGGTATCTGTTTGGCCAGGCCATTGTTAGTGTCACTTCCAAAGAGCAAGCTTGGCTGCATCGCCGAGCAGATATCGGCGACCCGGAGGATGACTTGCTCCCCTTGCTGCTTCGCGTTCTGCGGGCAGCGCCCGGCTCGGCCATCACTTTGGAGCATACTTTTTGCGCAGATCTGGCGTTGGAAAGAAGTCTCGAGAAAGGTTCCAGCAGCGCTGCAAGCCTTGCCCGCAAACGAATTGCTGCATTGTGGGACCAGCTTGAAGACCTGGGCCTCGGCGAGCTTCGAGTGTCAGGTGCTGCTGTCCGGTTCTGCAAATACCATGTGGCGTCGCTGTCGCCTGGTTGCTTGGATTGGCTACGGAAACACAGGGTGCCTGTTTCTCATTTTGGAAATCGTTCGCACGTTGATCATGCAGCTTTTCTGGGTGCGTGCCCTGAAAGAGGTCTCGATGTTACGGATGTTCACGTTAACGTTGTTCTACCTGCAGACAAAGACAACGCAGTGGACCCTCGTGCGTCGGAGCAGCTACCTTTGCAAAGTACAGCATCTCCTGTTCCAGTCTCTTGTCCAGAAGTCCCCATCTTAGGCGGCAAGCCTCCATCAGACAAGCCAGCAGCAAAGCGGAAGACAAAGAAGCCAGCTGTCGAATGGCGAGACATTGCTCGGGTGGATCTGGGTTCGCTTCTACTGTCGAACCAGCAACTTCTGCAACACCGTTGGCAAAGACCTGAGTGGGCTGACAGCAGGGTGACATTGAAGACGGTGTGGCAAAATAAGGAACGTATTCTCACTGAGGTTCGATGTGTTGAAAGTGAAGTGTGTCCTTGTCGCTGGCGAATACATCCTCGCCAAAACTTTGTACAACCCGGGTGCTTTGATCATTCAAGCATCCGGTGAACATTCAGGGCACGGTGAAGCCCCTTGTGCTAGTGGTAAGATTTTTTCTCAGAAACAACAGGGCATTGCTTCCCGCTTTCTCTCTGCAGGTGGTCGAGGTGCCAAAAATTTGCGTGTGGCACTCATAGCTGAGGGTTGTTCAGAAGCATCTTTGCCCACCAACACTCAGCTGGCAATTGGTTGCGAAACAACAGTCGCAAAAACAAAGATACTTTGAACAAAGATAAAGCTGTTGTTGCGGCAGTGGCTCTGGAGGTCGGTCAGCTGCCGCGAAGTCTTCCAAAGCAAGTCGACGCTATGTTTCTGTTGTTGGGGCCCATCATCACTGATACTGAGGTTTGTATACTTTTCGGTTGCTCTGGAATGCTCAGCACTTTCGACCGCTATGCTGGACAAGATGTTGCGTTGGCTGTCGACACAAAGATGAAAGTATTGAATCGCGGCATGGGGGTGGCCACGGCCAGCTTACTAGTGAAAGATCAGCTGAGAAAGACTCGTTTGCCCAAAGCCGGCAAAGGTTCTCGGACCCAAAGCCGGGCCTGGACCTCGGATGGCATGCCCGTTGCGCAGGCGATCTTTCATGCAGAGACAAAACCCAACTATTGTCGTCTGTTTCGCATTTGCTGTGACTTGTGGGCGGAACGCCAGCCACGGAGTTTGCCGTTGCCAGAGCAGCGAAGCTTGCAAATCCATAAAGATTTCCACCCCAGCACGGAAGAAGCTCGTCGAGAAGTGTTCCCACATTCACGGGCATGCGACGATTTTTTTCACTTCAAAGAAAAATCGCACACCGTCATGCAGTCAAAGTGTCGTCACGTTGTGCTTCGCAATGGTAAGCATGTCAAAAAGCATTTGCATTATGCTTTGACTATCATTGCGCTGCTTCGGTTCATCCCGACGCTGCCTTTGTTCAGCTGGTTGTGGAAAGCTTTTTTGGCCTCCTTGCGGCGCATGGATGAAACGACTTTAGCCGACTGGTTGCAAACGTACGAGCGCCCCTTGCCTTCGATTTTTCCGAACAAGCGACTGGTTTGCCAAAGAATGTTTCTTATGTTAGCTTTTGGGTTGGCTTCGATGGCATCATCCCCGGCTCTGGCAGTGGCAGTGAGCCTGCAGAAGCTTTACATGGCGCGTGGCAGACGGAACTGGCTTCTCTCGGCGGCCGTGGGGACATCAACCATTGTTTGCACGCCTTACAAAACCTGTATACGAAGCATTGGCAGGACTGGTATGCTTGGGCAGAAGCTGCACCTTTGTGCTTCCAGCCAGCCGGACAAGACCCACAGTTAGTGAATGGCACAGCTTTGGCGCGAGCTGGGCGCACCACGGCTGCCAACTTCTTGAAATTGCCGCCGAACTCGTGCTACCTCGTGCAACAATGCTCAGATCATTCCTGGGTTGCTTGTGCAGCCACTGCAGCAACTTCGCCATTGAATCGGAGTGTGGCGCAAAGCGTCTTGCGGCTGCTGATGCAACCAACATTGCTGAGCGCGCGCAGCTTGCCCGACTTGTTTGACAGTTCTACAAATCTATCACTGCAATCCTTCCGTGTGCACTTTGATGATGTGGTGTACGTGCGTGTGCGGCCGACACGTTTGCTTTGTTCTTGCGCTGCCGCCGCTATGCACAGCCAGTGCGAACATTCCACCTTCCTTCGCAGCTTGACCTTGCCGAATTTCCCTGCGCCGCCGCTGCTTCTCACTGAAGTTCCAGAGCCCCGCAAGCGCACAGGTCGTCGCAAAGTCTCTGATGCCCCACCACGCAAGCGACGCCGACGTCAAACTTGAGGATAGTCAGTTCGCTTTCTGTCATCTCGGTGTTTCGCGCCGCTTTGCCACATGCGCATGCCACCAGCTACAAAGTGTTGCCGCCCTGCTGCCACTGGAAAAAGACCGTCTTTCTCGAGCTCTGCGAGTGGCCAGAGTACTGCGTGTCTTTGTGTCAGCATGCGCGAGCTTTAATGTGATTAGTATTTTGCATTGTGGCTGTTTTGCTTTGCAAAGGCTCGACTAGCATGTGTGAACTCTTCCTCCTCTTTTGTGGTTCATATGCTTGCGCAATGTCTTGCAATATGTTCTGGGCCACTTGGTCGTCGAACCGGTCGTTGTGTCAGGTACAGTGCGGCCGTCAGTGGGTTCAAGCAGGCTGGGCTGTCGCGGAAAGACATGTCACATAAGTTGTCACGTCCTTTCGCAAACAAATCCCAAAAGCTAACCTCTACGATCATGTGCTTGTTCACCTTTCAATCCATCACCTGCTTTTTGACCATTGCAGTGCATTCTTGGTGTTCTCACCCACGATTGCTGCTGCTGCTGCTGCTTCTGCGATCGCCGCACATGCTGCTCCTGGTGCTGCAGCAGGTGCTGCTGCCAACCGGTGCAAAAAACACTGTTTACCGGCGCAAAAAACACCAACAGGTGCAAAAAACACCGTTTACCGGCGCAAAAAACACCGGTGCTGGCGCAAAAAACACCAGCGAACATGCGCAAAAAACACCGTTTCCCAACCGGCGCAGAAAACACCGTCAACCTCCAACAGGTGCAAAAAACACCGTTTACAGGCGCAATAAACACGGAGCCCACATTTTATTGTGCAAAATGTTACTCCCTCTCGACCACAGCGGGGTGTGTTTGTGCCTCGTGGGCAGATCATACTGGCTAGCATCGCCTTCTTGTTCGTGCCCCTTGACAGTCCCTGGGTTGTTTGGTCGATCCTGTGCCCCGTGGCCCTTTGGTCCAAAAAGCGCGCGTTCGTCAACGCGCGCGACGCGTGGACCCAACGCGCTTTCATTTGTTTTTTCACAGGAGGGAGAGGTTCAGAAATGCTACCACAGAGGGGGGCGGAAAAACAATTAAAACCAGATCTTCACATTTGGAAAAGCTTGTGGAATTTGGTGGGCTTTTTCTAATGAAACTTTAGGCACATGAAGAAGTCGCTTTCTGAACAGGAACGCTGAAACAGCTGTTTCGCTGTTGTGTTTCGGCCTGGACGGTCCGGGTCGTTTTCGCCCCGGACCTGGTGAACTTCACCTGTCCGAAGAGTTCCGAACCTGTTGGGGTAGTCGAAGGGGTTGACTCTCAGTCAGTTTGCCCCTGAGGGTGACTGGAGGGTAGTCACGTCATCACATCCGGCGACAGGGTGGGTGGGAGGTCAAGAAGACGCCGAGTTCGAACTGGTGGCATCAACTCGAAACGACTGGTTTGGAATCCACCAGGCTAAAACCATGCAAAGCCTTGTCACAGTGCGTTTGAAGCGTCATGTAATTAGACTGTGGATGCCAAAAAAAGACTGTACCAGAATGGTTTTTAAATGGTTTTAAATCTTCATATTGCTGTCACAGCGTAGTGTGACCGTACCGCGTGGGGAAGGTTCGTCCGATCCGGAGAGCGAAGGGATTTGGACCGATGAACCATGTCCCAGACACGAAATGATCCCAAGTCAACCATTTTTCCTTTGGACCCTTTTTCGAGTCCGCGATCCGCCCGCAGAAACCGATGGGGTCCCACGAAGGGTCGGAGCCATCTCCAGCCTTCGCCACTGAGGTGTGCGGTGAAGGCTACGTCCTGATTTGGGCCTTTAGGAATTACTTCCGTGCGCTGGAGTCCGCGAACCGTTCCGTGCGCTGCAGGGTTGGAGTACTGGGGGTGGCAACATGTTTGGAGTACTGGAATCTGCGGTTCTTGGGTGGTTCATGGAACCGTGCCCCTGTAGGAATGGAGGACCTCCAGAGCTGTAGCGAGGTATCATGAGGTACCCAGCACACATGGAGTTGGGTATAGTTGGGTGGTGTTTTGTCCCATTTAGGGGCCGTGGATGTGACCGGGGTGCCCCGACTTCCTCCATGGATAGCACCTCGTCGAACGTGATTGTTGGAATGTATACATTTGTGAGTCACCTGGTGGAGTAAAGAAGCCCCTCCAATGGTGTAGCTTTGAAGCATTTTGAAGCATTTGGCTTGATCATGACGAGGAGGGTGTACCTCAGGGCCAGGGCCCTTGGGGGCCCTGGGCCCCACAAAGAACCCGTCCTTCACGTCTCTCCTTCAGCCACTCCAAGGCTCTTTGCAACACTTTCGTCTTCAAACGGCTCACTGCTGGTGCTGTAGTGCCCCTTGGCATCAGATCGATTTCTCCTCGTGTTTGCACCGTTTTGGTCGATGCGTTGACCATCCAAAACATCCAAAACCTCGAGCGGCCGCTTTCGAAGGAACACAAAAAACCGTCCCACGTGACGCCAAACTGGCGACAAGGGTCGGAGGAACCTGGATGGAGTTCGACACGGGTGATGTTCGTGGTGTAACCCGCAGACAGCCACTAAAGTTTCGCGCACCAGTGAAAGTTGATTTGCTGGTCAACACTGATTTGCATTGGTTTGCGGAGGAACTTTACTACTTGGCCAATGGATGCAATGAACGTTTCCCGCACACACTTAGACAATGGGTTTTGAACCAGAATCCACGTCAAAACGAACGATGGAACCGAAAGGCGGCTGAGTCCAGTGACTTGTAGATTTTAGATGTTTCCAAACAGTGTTTGTGCACATCTGCAGCAATTCAACGACAGTGCACGAGCGGCTGAAAGCGGTGTGAATTGTTTTGGAATCTATCGTGCAAGAACCATGAAAACAACAACACAGCGGCCGAGGGACACCAGTGGAGTCAATGTGTTGATCGCAGGTACAGGAAACTGGCCAAGTTTCCCTTCCCACTCTTATCCACAGCTTCGTCCCTGTGATAGGATAAGAGTGTCACACGCCCCTGCGGATGGTAAAAGAGTTTCGGTCGAAAGAACTCCTGGGGACGGAGGGTGGCACACACACACCACACCCACACGCGCACGCAGAGCGTCACACACACTGACACTGGCACGCGTGCACGCGAACAGTATGGTGGAACAAGTGCACGACTTGGCATTTTTCCTCTTGTAGTTGTTTGCCGTGCGTTCCTGTCAGACATATGTATCAGAAAACAGGCTGTGGCACTACAGTAGAGGACATTGCATGAGAATTCCCGGAAAATTCATCATCTTTACAAGCCGTGCTTTTCGACCATCCCAGTTCGACCTCTGAGCCTTGCTAGGTTGACCATGTGAACCCCTCGACGGGGCAGAGCATCGCCGTTTGTGATCGGGAGATTGTCCGCCAGTGCGTGGCTTGATTGCGGAGACGGGCGGGCCAGTACAGATCTGGATTGGTCGGCCGATCCGATGGGGATGGGAGTGGCATGGTGGAACCATTCTGAACATGGATGGAGCAACTGAGCACATGGAAGGAGTTGCATGTGACTGGAACTGGCACCCACACTTCACTAATTACCTGGAGTCGACCTGTTCGTACGTCGGACAATGTACCAGTATATATAGCAATTTTATACTCCTTAGTGAAGTGGGAAACCTGTTCCTTTACAAAACAACTCCCTCGCGTGTTAGAAAAATTGAAACAAGATATGAAATCCAAGAGCGAGCCAGCGGAGAGGCACAATATTACAACAAAAGATCATAGGCTCACTTCAGGTGACATAAACTTAACAACCCATTTTATAAACACCTCACCCTGCCACGGCAAATCGTATTTGTGCACACCCTCCCACAAAATCAATTTTATATACTCCTCACCCCGCCAAGCCCGTTCGTGTTTTTCCACGCCCTCCCAGGAGAAACACTTCAGAACCATCAAAACTCACCTAGAACCTGATCGACCCCCCTGTTTTGGAGCCAAAACAACGTCTTTTCATATCAAAACACAGATCAAACCGGTTCTAGGCATGGACAACATATCAAAAGTTTACATACCATTTATTCATGGCAAAACCCATTGATCGGATCAGAAGACCTTTGAGTAGGTGCCAGAGCCTTTTGATGTTGGAACTGCATGATTAAAACATATGACAGAGTTCCCACAGTTTTGACATCAGAGTTTTTGTGGACATGTGCATTCATATATATAATAGGTTTTACATATTTTTTTGATGACTTCAGTTCTGCGGTTTCTCATTGTTTAACTAGATCGGTTCTGCATTTTTATAGTGACCAACCCTGACTTTATTATAAACCTGCGTCTGTGTTTATAAACCCAAATTCCGCCCTTATACAATACAAACACTTCAGCGGGTAGGTATCCACACGTTCAAAACCAACTTCACGCCATTGTGACAATTGTGGTGGCAATTTCTGGCACTTCCGGAAAACGATGAACCACTCAGAGCAGAGCTCCCAAATGCTTCCCCCTTCATCCCCTCCCCCCGGCGCTGCGGCCCTCCGGTGGTTCCGCCAGGTCACGACTTGGTTCGGCTCGGAGGACGCCTTCGATGAAACGGTGCGCTCCTCCGTGAAGCGGGCGCTGGCGGAGCAGCTGGGCGTCGACGCCTTTCCCTACGCCGCCCGATGAACCAACGGGTCGACCGGGGCAGAGCTGCAGGGTGACGGGTCGAGGCAGCACCATCCCCGATCCAACGAAGGATAGCATATGCCATGGATAACATGCATGCCGATGATCATAGAAGTGTAAAGATGTGTCATGTCATGAAGCATCGTATTGTTCGAACTCTCATTTTAGGCATCTCTCCGCAAGCGCGCATACTCCAGCGTTGCCGCAATTGTGAGATCATATGATTTGGGCCTTCCGGCGCCCAAAAGTGTTTTTTTCTACATATGTTCCTCTTCAGAGCTTTTCAAGGCGAACAAGGGAGCTTTCTAGAAGGCAGTACTTCAAAGTAATTCTATTTGTGGCTTAGGCCACAGATAAGCGAGAATGTGAACACTTTTCTTGGCCCAGCTTTTCAAGAATCTCCACTCATTTGCGAGATCTTCTTTCGGTGAAGGACCTGATCCGGGCCGGTTTGGTTGGAAAGCGTTTGAGCATTCAATCCTGGTCACCTAGGAACATCAGTGAATCAACCTTGCTTAAGTAACATACGAGATGCCACCGCAGATCATGACACGTAGAAAGATATAGTGATGCATATATGTCCATCATTTCATGTTCTGAAGACCAGACTGGAGTGAATCTAGTAGAACACGCCCAAGCCCAACCTATCGGCTGCTGTGCCTGGCGCTCGCTCATTTCATCGGAGATCCGCCAACCGCGCTCGTTCGTACTCAGGTCTGGGTGGTGTCCTCAACTGTACCTTTGATTTGGGTGTGCATGGATGTGGCTCGGTTCCTTAAACCGAGCTGGAGGGGCTGAAAGCACTTGAAAAACACTGATGCCTGGATTATCCCTCAAGGGTGAAAGCTGTCCATGAGGCCTGTCCAAATACCAGCTCCTTGCCGCGTGTGTTTTGTTGTTTGGGCGGGCAATGCGTTGGCGCAAAACGCGCAACAAGCGATGCCTATAGTGTTTTTTGCAGGAGTTCCTGTTCCGAATGGCATGCAGTCGCTTTCATGGGGAAGTGCTTGTCTCAGGTCCAGCAGCTTAGAATTTGCACCAGCACCACCCAAAAGATCCAAAGGGATCCAAAGGGTATAGTGGTTGGATGGAACCTGATCACAACGCGGTCAGTCCTGACCATCTGTGACCACCGTCCGGCTGGGTGCGGACTGTCAGGTGCGGATTCGATCCGAAACGGATCCGTTGAGCTGAGGCCACTGTCAGCATCGCAGCAGAGGAGCACGAGCGAATTCTGCTGGCCTTCATGGTGCTTCGCTGTCTCGCCTGGTGGCCCTTGGGCGGTCTAGAACGAAGTCTCATGAAGTCTCCTTTTTGTTGTGGTGCGTGCAGGGCTGACGTGTATTTGATGATTTTGTTTGCATGGTCTAACGGATTTAACCGTATATAATGTATACCAAAATCCTTGACCCCAACCCCGGGATTTATTTTAAAAATCCCGAAAATCACGTACGTCCAGGACTTCAGAAATCACCAAAAAAAGATTAGGCTTTGAAAATTGATCGTTGGTCCAGAACTTCAGAAAAGCATGTTAAGTCACGGTACTACTGAACTTAAGGGACATATGGTAGGTTAGACACAGGATTCTATAAACACATGTTTATCTTTAACATGGAGGTCCTTGTGGGTCAAGGTCAGGATTTTAGTTTTCTTTGCCTCTATCCAATAGACATCAATAGAGTTGGGGTACATGTCGTGCTCTTCTGCATATACTGCATTTCTCTTCCGTCGATCGGTTTTTTCCGTCGATCGGGTTCATGTCTGATGTCGTGGACAGTCGGCAATGATTCAGGGGGGCGCAGTAGAATCAGCAGACCAGAATCAGCAGATCAGAATCAGCAGAATCAGCAGTTCCTGAATGGAACTTACACTGACACCAGACGTGACTGATTAGCACACAAAACGTGACAAGATCTTGTTCAGTAGAGACACCAGGGTCAATGCCAGGATTTAAATAAGACTTGTAACGATACTTTGAGAAGGCCGAGTGGCCTTGGGAGAAGGATTTTAATAAATGGTCGGTCAAGTAAACCCGAAGTCTTGCTTCAAAAAATGATGTCCAACCTCAGCACACAAAAAAATAAGGAAGTCACCTCAGTCCGAAAGGACTTATAAAATCAATCCTGGGTTCAACCTTTAAGCATTATTCAAGGGATATTCTATTTGGTGCCATGTTTGGTGTTCACCGATGTGATCGTATGTGATGGGCAGTCCCAATTTCTTAAACAGAAACGCACGCTCCGGTCGGCGATCCTTTGCCGTAGTTCCGACTTCGGATGTTGCCGGGCCCGAAGGAATCCGAAGCAGATTTCTGGAGGGCTTCTTGTTCCTACAGTAGATGGACCAAATATTCAAACCCATGTGTCAATAACTGTCGCCAACCCCTGACCCCCAAAGGTCAATGTTGAACATAACTTGATTGAATTTGCGTTTGAATATTTCGTCCATCTACGGTAGTAGCAATGCCAGGAGCCCCGAACGTAGCGTCCTTGCTCCTAGTTTAGTAGTGAGGCCAGGAGCCCCTGGTAGCTCTTTGTTCCTATATATAGTGGTAATTTTATAGTTTTTTGCAGACTGAAATTGATGCCGTTGGCATCCTGCAAATAAAGACGCCATTTGCAATTTCTGCGCAAACACCAAGCACCACAAAAACAAGAACGCCTATTTTGAGGTTTGTGCTGGACTGGATAAAACTCCACTGGAGTAAGGTGAGCGAAAGTCAATAAGAATACCAACGCCTTTACCCACTGCGGCAGTGGACATATTGTTTTAATTCTGCTCATTTTTTAAGTTGAGTCAAGCATTGTCGTGACTGGAGCCTCCAAGAGTGTATCAGTCAGGTGGACGGAAAAATTATGCATTTTTCCTGCTAAAATTTGCATTTGTTCCTTGCACAAATGCCTTTTCCAATCTTGACAACTCCTGTAAACTGATTCACTCATGCCATCTCATGCCTATTTTGTTCAACCATGTTTGGTACAGGTGGTTACTTTGCCACATTTTGCCACAAAACCCAACAGAAAACCTGCAATCCTCACAAAATATGCCGAGCAGTTTGGCCAACGGGGATGTGCACCTGCAACCACCATGGAAAGGTAGCAAAAATAGTTTTGGGCCATCGATGGCTTCAATCGGGAATGAGCAGGCTGTCACAGGCCTAAGCAAGAAACTGCTCCCCAAAAACACCGTCAACAAAACAAAACCGTCCTTGCGACTCACTCAAAAGTCAACTTTTGCCGGTGCACGGAAAAAGGTGCCTTTTCGAGTCCAAGGCTATTATTTTAGCATACGTTTGCCATATTACCGGATACTAATATACATTGGGGTGGTTGACTTGGGGTTGATGGTAAATTCCAGTCCCAATGCCCTAAGTCTGATCATCAATAGCTCGAGAACCGAGGCTTTGGGGCATTCCCATCGTGGCCACACTAGGGCTCACCGCAGCGCGGCGCTTTCACGCCCCCGGCCGAAGCTGTGTGGAAGAGCTTGGGAAGAATCTCCTGGTGCTCCTGGCAACTCGAAAGCGCAAAAGACGATTGCATGTTTCGATGTGTGTTTTTTTTCATGTTGTTTGTTCCATATATAGATCATCCGTTATTTGGATGTCTTAATGTTCTTGGGCAAGGCCACAAGTCGAACGTGGGTGTTCACCGCACCCTCCGAATCCATCCGTTCATGGCCGCGCTGCGCTCCACATGGAGGCGGGGGTGGCATCCCCGTAGGGCTACGGATGTTGAGGTCGTGGCCCCCGGGGCTGCTCTCTTGATGGCTTGGCACGTTGGCTTGGAGCTGGCTTTCGGTGCCTTGGACGAAGCTGAGCAAGCTGGGAAGATGGTGGAAGGGTGGAGAAAACATGAGGGGACGATCGGTACATGTGGACCAAAAGGCTTCCATAGGCTTCCGAAATCATGTTGCCGTAGTCTTTGCACAGTATAGGACGTGGAAATACGTGGAACACCTCTTGGTGGCCAAAAACGGCAGATCTCAACCCAAACAAATTGCATCAAATGACATTTCCACGAACGATCTTCCAGGATCATCATCAAATTTAAATTCCCCCCCCCAAAAAGGCGGAAAGCATGATCCAGAGCGGTGTGTTTGCCTAACGGTTCTCTGCATGTAACTGACGAAACGGTCGATTCAATTGACATGTTGCACAAGCACACACTTATTGACTTAGTCATAGTATACGTCATGACTTACATCGAAATCGACTATTTGTCATGCACTTCGCATGTTTTTTCATCATCGAACAATCACATCAATCACCCAGGACTTCGATCAGATCAGTTGACAGAAGGTCCTTCTTCGCCTCTTAGGGGAGTTCCAGCTAAGAGTGGAGTTGGAGGGTGGCTGCCCTTTCGGATATCCCACTTTTGATCCACCAGCTTCTTACCATTTGTTTCTTCAAACACCTCGGAAGCCTTCAACTCAGCTTTCAACTAAGTTCAGACGCCAAGAGAGAGAGAGAGAGAGAGACTCTGGGAAGTGGAGACGAGGAGGCCCACAGGCACTGCCCACAGTGTCACACGGCCTTTGCAATAAGCAGACCTGTCACCCGGCTTTGAGGCTGGTTTGCGACTGCTTGGCTGAGCGCTCCGCAAGAGACCTTAGGCTCCGTGGTGTTCGCGGCCGGTTGCTTTGTAGCTCGGATCGGGAGTCCGGGTGTGTTTCAGTGGTCAGATCGCCCCAGAAGGGGTGTCTAAGAAGAAGAAGCACCTTCTTATGGGGGCGTCCTGGAAACCACCCCTTAAATTGCGCAAGTTGATGTGCTTGTCGTTTTTGGCCCACGGGCACCATAGACGACATACATACAGCCCAGTGGCCAAATTTCCCACAAGGATTAATGCACCCAGGGCCCATCCAAAGGGAGGACACATGCCTGGCAAGTGTTTTATATCATCCAGAAAGAGGGGATCATCATTCCCCAGCTGTTTTTTGTTCAAAATTGCCATCAGTGACCTTTTTGGGGTTCAACATGTGGTTTGGGTGGCGAGTTCCCCCTTCATCCCGCTTTCCTATATATTTTGTGGCCAAAGATGGCCAAAGAAAGGTCATGTTGCACTCAGGTGTTTGCTTGGAATAACAAGGGTCCATCAGAACCCCATCAGGTGCTGATTGCAAGCTCTTCCCCACAGCACGGCCCCAAGGTAGCCTTTGTTTTGGTGCGGATTGCCTACCGCTGTGCCAACCGGCGCTACATGGAAACCGTGAATGCGAGCACGTGACAGTTTGGGAAGCGACGTTTTCCAGTGGCTCAGGTGATGCCTTGGAGTCACCTGAACAAATCAGCACAGTTTACTACGCTGGGTCCAGTTTGGTTTGATGACCGGCCGATGTGTAGACCGAACAGCTGACCCAGCCGATGCGAATCGCACAACTTGGTGAGATTTTTGATTAAGACCCTAGCCTTCCAAGACCAAAGCATCGTGGACCTGCATGGCTTTGTAGTGCAAACCAATGGTAAAACGATGCTTGTTCGGTAGAAACCATTCAATCAATGGTTGGAATATGTTGGAATTCTAGGGTTAGAGGTCAGTGCACTCGCGAAGCGACCCACTTGTGGGTGAGCAGAGCGCGTTTTTTTTGAGCGTGAATCGGCCATTCATGGAGGTGTGGATCATCAGAGAGTACTATGAAAATGGGTGGGGAAAGTGAAAATAGAAGGTCGGGGAGTCGATCGCATAGGTCAGATTATGGTCGATTGATTACTACATCTGTCCCAGGTGCGCCATTGTTCAATACCACTCTGTCCTGCGCCATTCTGAAGTCCTCCATGCGACCAAAGCCTTTGCCCTTTTTACCCAAATCCCATGGGGGATTTGTTGCTCGCCTTGGCTCCTGCGACTGATTTTCGGATGGCTGCAGACAGAAAAGAGACCGCGTGGCAGGGTGGAGGACGGTTGACCAGCGGCGGTCAACGGCACCCAACCTTTGAGGATTGATCAGATGTGAGAGTAGAGTAAAGGATATTTGTATGTTAAGTCCGTATATATATATATATATATGAGATTGGTTTCATAGTGGAATTTGTTTGAGGCCCGTGGGGTGGGTTTCTAGATGCATCCAGCTGGGTGATTGGTGAAATCAAGACACATGGAAGTGAGGATTCACCGCCACATTGTTGGAAAAACTAGGATTTTCCACAGGGTCCTCTTCCCCGGGCCTGCGAGTTGATCAGTGTGATTCGAGCTCATGGTCCGGAGGTGCTGTGTGTTCTTTCATTTTCCATGCGTTTCATGCAGCAAAACAACGGTGTTGATACATGCTGGAAACTGCTGGTGCATGTTTCGCCCTATGTAATTCGATGAATTGTTGATGCTGTGTTGAGGTGTAGCGCGGTGATATGATGTGACATGTAATGCATGTGGTGCAGGGCAGGGTTGTGTTTTCGGCTATGTGAAGTGTAGTGTTTTTTTAGATCTTTTCAGTGTGAATTCAATGGAGTCTTATGCGATGCCGATGTGGCCAAATTTGTTTCGCACCACATTCCAATCATTGTGCACCGGCAGTGTTACTTCTTAATAACACTGTCAACTACCTGTGAGGATTTGAGGTTTAGGAACCCTGCCTCCTGCAATCTCTTGCGCCTGCCTCTGTGAACTCGAGTGAAAAGGTAACACTGGTGCAGAACTATGATGTAGTTCATACCCAATTTCATACCCTTATGTTTCTTGCTTCACACCACCCTCCAGCCACCGTCGGCTGCACTAGGTGCATCATGGTGTATTGAATTGCGTTTTTTTTTGTTTTATTTTTC